GGAATGGAGGGGGAGAGCGACGAGCGAAGGCGGGCGCGGTGTCGCAAAGACGTGTTCGGTCGGCGTGTTCCCCCTTAAAGGTCGGTCCCCCGAAGTGGGAAGAGGGGATGTACCGGAAAGTCGGCGAGGAGCCACGCAGTGGATGTGGGTTCGGTTCCTAAATGATCAAGCGGCGGCCAGGATCTTAACGAGGGTTCCAAGAAGACGAGCGTCGAGCGCCGAGCGGTGCTCCCACAAGTGTCAATGCGGCGGAATTCTTGTTAGTGGGATGTACGAAGTGCGCAGGAAGCTCTTGAGGATCTGGGGCGAGACATGGTCCTCTTCGAAGGTGGGCGGGATGTCGAGTTGTCGGCAAAGCAGCAGCAACAAGCACCCTAGGGAGGCCCAAAAGCCCAAAATGCCGGAAACACAGCGTCCTCAAGGGTCGGTCAGGGTCACCTCCTGAGTTGGGACAGGGGTTTCGACACGGAGAATGGTGGGTGCGGTGCGCCGTCGATGGAGTAAAATGGGATGGACGTCTGGTGCTTGTCGGCTGGTCTCGCAAGTCCCCCCCTCCTTTTCCAATCCCCCTCCCCTTTGAGCCCGTCGAGCCCCCCATTTCTGGCCCCCTTTCCCAAGTCATGGCTAGGATTGGCTCGATTGGTTCCCATGGCCCCTGCTTGTCAAGGCTGAAAGCCGCTTAGCGCCTTGTGCGCGCTGGTAGGGTCCAGACATGAAACCAGTCCCACCCGGCCAATCGAGGAGCCATATGAGCGCCACAGCAAAGGGGACACCAGCCACGGCCCACTCCACACATGCCGATGGGGAACGAGGCTGTCGTTGTCTGGGGAAGGCGTACCTTGTTTACTTTCCGCCAGCCACGATCCACAGCCATCAACATTCGCCGGTCCAAGACGTCAGACAACATCATTCGTGACTTGCATCAACCCTCTCGAACGACAGGCAAAGCAAAAAAAAGAGAGTACAGTACCGCTCCTGCTCTCGACGGCCTAGCTCCATATTGTGAAGCATTGACTGTTTGTCATCAAGAATCTGCGGCCTGCTTTCCCCTCCTTGCGTCCTCTTCTTGTCGTCACCGGTCTTGGCAGGAAGGTCCCGATCGACGACCGACAACACAGCACTTGCTCCCTCCCAAGAGGAGATCACACACACGCGCCTACACACTCCACAGCCATGGTATGTTCGGCCCGAGACATCGAATTCGAGCTTCTTTCCCCTGCGAACTGTCCAAGGCCTGACTTTGCCTCGTCTCCATGTGTTAGGCCACGCCTGTCGCCGGTTACAAACCCTCTCCACTGGGATATGGGTCTCCACGCAGCTCTCCATTCCGTCGCCCCGAATCGCCCGCCTCACCTTCCAGCCCATCTTTGAGACAGACAACACCATCAGCATCACCCACGAAAACACCCTATCGCACCAGCCGGTCAAGCTTCGCTGAGCCGCCGACGACGCCCACCCGCACTGCCGACAGTTGGACGCCAAGAGCACTTCCTCAGACTCCACCGCGCGTCGACATGCAGGCATCGCCAAAGGTCGCCACCCGGTCATCGCCTGTCAAAACGACCATGAACGGCAACGCCCTGTCCCAACTGCAGCCAAGCCAGGTGCGAACGCTGCGCGAGGGCTTTGAGATCTTGGACCGGGACAGTGATGGCGTTGTCAACAGGGAGGATGTGGCTGATATGCTGACACAGCTGGGTATGTCGCTCCGGAAGCAGTATTCCTTGTCCGCGAAACTGACTGTCATGCAGGACTACCCGCGAACGCCTCCGACGTTTCCAAGTTCTTTCCTCCATCAGCTCCACAGACGATGACGATGGCCGTCTTTCTGAATACACTAGCCGCGATGCTGGCAACGCTCTCACCCCAGGCAGAGCTGCTGTCGGCCTTTTCGGCGTTTGACGATGATGATAGCGGTCAGATAGATCTGGCCGAGCTCCGCGACGCTCTCCTCAACACGGCGCCCGAGCCGGGCGAGCGTGCGCTGACACCGGCAGAGGTCGATCAGGTCATGCAAGGGTTCACCGGGCGAAGGGCATTCAGCCGCAACATGCAAGGCGGACTGGGCAAGCGTGGTGAGGTTTTCCGGTACCAGGAATTCGTCAACTCGGTCATGGGCTCCAATAACGCTACTTCAGAGGCGGCTTCGGCAGAGACGTCTGAGAACTGAGAGGAGGCGGTTTCGTTTGGTTTGGTTTGGCGGGGGGCACTGAAGCTGTACCAGCAACCGTGGGATGGAAGCACTCTCCAGGAAGCAGGATTCAGAGAAGCCATCGCCCAAAGGATATGGAAATATAAGTAATACGCAGTCATGGTATCGGAGTTTGTAGGGTGCTTTCAAGATTCTGTATTTTGTACAGGGTTTGGTTTGCTGGCAGCTTTCCATGCCGCAATGTGTTGCGCCTCTGTTGGCTTTGCCAAGACTTCTTTCTGGTTTGCCAATATTTGCCCCACCATCGATGTTCTTATCGTCTTATCTGCATCCCGTTACCGCGGGGCACCTCCGCAAAATATCGTCGGTTGCACCCCGCCATCGCTCGCTCTAATTGAGACTTATCGAAGACGACTTCGTGCGAAAACGGTCAATTGAAGCATAATCCCCGCCATGAAGGACACATACACTTTCCCCGCCGCGGCTGACTTCCATGTATGTCACCCCTCGGTCCGAATGTGTGCCGCAAGACTGAGCTCGCGCAGGTCCACCTCCGTGATGGCGACATGAGCCGGGCTGTCGTCCCTACGATTCGCGACGGCGGCGTCGACACGGTCTACGTGATGCCGAACCTGATCCCGCCCGTCACCACGGTCGCCCAGGCGCTGGCCTACAAGGAGCGCCTCCAAGCCATCGACAACAGAGTCAACTACCTCATGACGCTCTTCCTCGACGAGAGCATCACGCCCGAGGTCGTCCGCGAGGCCAAGAAGGCTGGCATTGCCGGCATCAAGTCGTACCCCAAGGGCACGACGACCAACTCGTCCGGCGTGTCGTCAGCTACGAGCCCTACGACGCCACCTTCGCCGCCATGGAGGAGGTCGGCCTCGTCCTCAACATCCACGGCGAGGTGCCCAACAACACGCAAAAGGACGTGTCGGTCATGAACGCCGAGTCCAAGTTCCTGCCGACGCTGCTCGAGGTGCATGCCAAGTTCCCCAAACTCAGGATCGTGCTCGAGCACGTCACGACGGCGGACGCCTGCGACGCGGTGCGCAGCTGCGGCCCCACTGTCGCCGGCACCATCACGGCCCACCACCTGTCTCTCGTCATCGACCAGGCGGTCGGCGACGTCTTCTGCTACTGCAAGCCGGTGGCCAAATCGCCCGAGGACCGGCGCGCTCTGCTCAACGCGCTCGTGACGAGCAACGGAAAGTTCTTCCTCGGCACCGACAGCGCCCGTAAGCCTCCCCTCCCCTCCCCTTTGCTAGAGCGAAAAGAAAGACGTGGCTTTTGGGCTTTTTATGCTGACGAGATGCAGCACATGACATCAGCGCCAAGAAGGGCAAGGGCAGTGCGGCCGCAGGTGTCTTCACGCAACCCCACGCGTCTCAGTACATCCTGACGGCCCTGGAGGAGGGCATCGCGCGGGAGGACATCAAGGATGAGCAGGTGACCGAGGAAGTTCTCCGGGGCTTCTTAAGCGAGTGGGGACGCAAGTTCTACGGCGTTGAACCGGCGACGCAGAAGATCGTGCTTACCAAGGGCGACAAGGTCATTCCCGAGTCCGTCAAGGACGCAGGCGTCGAGGTTGTGCATTACCGGGCTGGCACCAAGACCTGGGACTTGAAGTGGCAGTAGGATTTGCATCGTTGGGGGGGATTCAGAACTCGGGGTTGAGACAAAAAAGGGGATAAAATGTGTTTGTGAGGAAATACCTGGGTGAGGGGCGAGACATGAGGATCCAAGACTCATTAAAACGAAACACTCAACAACACCGGAAAGAGGTGTCTGTGTCAAAACGAGAGCAGGACAGGTACGTCACATGTTGACATGAGACGATGTTTTGCAGGGGTAATAAAAAGTTCAAATCTCGGCTAAGTGGTATGGTCAAGACTTCTTGATTCCGCTCCAGAGCAACCAAGAGTCGAAGCTCTGCGCAGCACAGCAACATGAGAAGGGACAGACTAGTGATTCGAATACTAGCATGGGCATTGTAGTGGTCCCGTTGATGCCAATGAACCTGCGGTCAGTCGCGCCATCCTAAGAAAGTCGATCAGAACGGGAGGCTGGGATTTGCAGCTGCAGTTGCTGCAGGCCTGCGCACTGGCACCCGAGCAGTCAGTTGAGTGACAGCATAGCCGCGAGCCCCCCTCCCCCCCCCCCCTCTTTCCCTTCCCTCCCGCCAACGCTAGGTCCCGATGCCGGTGCCGCCCACCCTGAGTGTTACTTGCCGCCGCAAAATCTGAACGGCGGCAGGGATCCCGCGTGTTCGCCCCACCGAACCTTCTCGAACCGGTCAGTTGGGAGCACACTTGTGGGACGGTTTCCTACAAAGGCCTCGATACAGACATGCCGATATCGAGTTGGAGGGGAGGTTAGAAAGGGGATCCTGGCAACACCTGTGGCAAGACTCACGCTCACCTTGACTGATATCAATGCCATCCAGCATGACATGTCCTTCATTGGGTGTCTAGACACAGGGAAAATTCAGTGGCTAGGATATGCACATGCACAGCCAGTGCTAGGCTGTATTTTTTGTGCTCATCCACCGTTGTGCATAGAGACAGGTCACAAGTTCTTTGCCTATTGGTTCTGGCGGCGGCGGCTCGTCGTTGACTCTCTCCGTGGGGTTGACCAGTAAAGTAGAGGATACCTGTCCTAAGGCCGACGCCACATGCGGTCCAGATGTACTGAGTACCCCACCGTCGAAACCTCCCAGCCCGTCGCTTTTTCTCGTCACCCAACGCAACGCCCACTGAAAGCCCCCCTGACGCCCAATGAACCAGGCAGTCCGTGTGCACATCACCAGGAGGCAACTTTGTCCAGACTGATGTGCAAAAGCTGATAAACCCCAGCAGAGAGCCAACTGTCTGTCCTTGCGCTGTCTTGCCTTTTGCTTTCCGTCTTGTCTGGTCTTATCTGGTCTCGTGTCGTCTGTGCTATTTTCATGTCCTAAAAGGAACCAGTTTTCATTTCGGATTTTCGGTTGACGGAGCAAACGGAGCAGCATACATTTCATCATCAGCGTCTTTGTGCAAACGACATTGGTACAGAGCAGTCCCCCCTTCCGGGCCCTGCTGCCTTGTCGCCTCCAGCAAGCTGCCATTTCCCTCTTCACTCACATTTTGTCGTTTGGACCCTGAACGTCACAATCGCAGTCGAGTCGCAGTCGCAGTCACAGCCACAACTCAAACCACACACACGCACACACACCCCCCCCAGCTCAGCCCAGCCCAGCCCTGGCGCCATCATTTGCAATCGCAGAGCACCCGAGCACGAACCGGGGACAGCAGAGGACAGGCCCAGGCCAGCCAGGCAGACAGAAGGCGCGAGCAGCAATTTCTCGGCTCGTCCGTGCCAAACCAGTCCCCGTCCCCTTCTTTCCTCTTCACTTCTTGTCATTTTCCTTCCAGCTTCTGGACACTCTTGGAACAGAACTTTTAGCTCTTCCGACTGCATCGACGTTACCTTGCGTCACAACCTGGTCGCCACACGTTTGGTCCCACAGCAAAAGAGAGAGAGAGAGAGAGGGAGAAAGAATCTGAAGGGGGAAAAACAGGACCGTACATCCACACAGTACTGCACCGGGCTTCCGACATCAAAGTCGCACGCCAACTACCTCTTCTACAAGAATACCCTTATCTCGAGGCGCTGCATGATTCGGGATCGGCCTCGCCCACCACCGGTCGCCCACTTTACCTAATTAACCAGAACCCACCGGAAGTGTTCAAAGTCTCCAGCGCTGGACTCGATGAAGCTGTTCGCCAAAAAGACGTCGTCTTCCAAAAAACCTGTCACCAGTCAGAACTCCCACGAAGAAGAGGAATTTCACAACTTACCTCACCGTTCCGCCTCCTCCTCGCCCACCAAGTCTTCTTCCCCCACCAAATCCCCAACTAAGCCTACCTATTCCAGACGCAGCACGAGGCCTCCCTCGCCTGGCGGGCGCGAGACTAAATCGCGATCTTCTCGGCCCTTCGGTCGTCATTCCACAGACCCCGGATCCTCCTCCTCCTCACGCCGTCACAAGGTCGACCCCAATACCCATCCTCTCAACCTCCCCCCTGAAGAGAGAAAGAGACTGTCTGCACTTTCCGCCATGAGCCGCAGCAACTCCATGGACATCGACCGCGAGTCGACCGGCGCTGCTTCTTCACCCCCCGCAGCGCCCACGCCCACAGCCCAAACCGCCTTCTCCGTCCCGATCCCCAACATCAACACCGCCGTCAACGGCAACGAGAATGGCAACGATGAAGATGCGCCCATGCCGCCCCCGCACAGGTCTAACCCCTCCAGCCCCGTCCCCACTGCAGAGGACGAGGCCGAGGCTTACAAGGCTGCGGGCAACAAGTTCTTCAAGGAGAAGGACTACAAGAACGCCATTCTTCAGTACTCCAAAGGTATGCAACCCCATTCGCCTAGAAATTTGCGTGAGAACCACATGCTAATCTTTTTTTTTTCAAACAGCCGTCGAGATGATTCCCGACTCGGCTACCTATCTCAGCAATCGTGCCGCTGCTTACATGTCTAACGGCAACTACGAAGCAGCCCTCGAAGACTGCCTACGGGCCGTCGACCTGGACGGCCAGAATCCCAAGGTCCTCCTGCGTCTCGCGCGCATCTATACCAGCCTCGGTCAGCCTGAGGAGGCCATTCTGACGTTCGGCCGCATCCAGCCGGCGCCGTCTGCTAAGGACATGGCGCCCGCCAAGGAGATGCTGCACCACATTACCGCAGCCAAGAATGCCCTTGCTAGCGGCACTGCCGGCTCTATGGTTCTGCACGCTCTCGACCAGGCCGAGCGCCAGCTCGGCTACACCGCACCGAAGCCTCGAAAGTGGCAGATCATGCGTGGTGAGGCTCACCTCAAGATGGGTACCGCCAACGCCCTTGGCGAGGCTCAGAACATTGCCATGTCGCTGCTGCGTAACAACAGCCAGGATCCTGAGGCGCTCGTCCTCCGGGGTCGTGCTCTGTACTGTCAGGGTGACAACGACAAGGCCATCAGCCACTTCCGGAAAGCACTCAGTTGCGACCCGGACATGCGCGACGCCGTCAAGTGGTTGAGGGTTGTGCAAAAACTCGAAAGGATGAAGGGAGAAGGTAACGCCGAGTACAAGGCGGGCCAGTGGCAGGCAGCCATTGACAAGTACACTGCCGCTTTAGAGATTGACCCCACCAACAAGGGTACCAACTCGAAGATTCTCCAGAATAGGGCGCTGTGTAGGACAAAGCTCAAGGAGTACGACGCTGCCATTGCCGACTGTGAGAGGGCCGTCCAGCTGGACCCCACCTACACCAAGGCGCGCAAGACAAAGGCCAATGCGCTGGGCTCTGCGGAGAGGTGGGAGGATGCCGTCAAGGAGTGGAAGTCAATCCAAGAGCTCGACCCCGAGGATCGCACCATTGCCAAGGAGATTCGCAAGGCCGAACTGGAGCTGAAGAAGAGCAAGCGCAAGGATTACTACAAGATCCTCCAGATCAGCAAGGATGCCGATGATACCCAGATCAAGAAGGCCTACCGTAAGCTGGCCATCGTTCACCATCCTGACAAGAACCCCAACGACGAACATGCCGCTGAGCGCTTCAAGGATATTGGTGAAGCTTATGAGACTCTGAGCGACTCTCAGTATGTCTTCCCCTCCTCTTTCTGAATTTTCAAGTTGAAGAAGCGTGTGCTGACCTGTGCAGAAAACGTGCGGCCTATGACAATGGCGATGATCTGATGGATCCCAATGACATGTTCGGCGGTGGCGGCGGCATGCACGGTGGCATGGGTGGCATGCACGGCGGCATCGACCCTGAGATGCTCTTTAACATGATGGGTGGCATGGGTGGCGGTGGTGGTGGCGGCGGCGGCGGGTTCCCCGGAGGTGGTGGTTTCCCCGGCGGTGGCACGTTCTCCTTCGCCGACGGGTCCAGCGGTCGCCAGCGCCCTGGCTTCAGCGGACGTGGCTTCAACTTCTCCACCTGACAACCCGACTCTGATCAGGGCGAGGATGACGAGGAAGACGAGGAAGACGAGACGAGATCGGAGGACGATGGCGACAGCGACAGCTCGCAGCCTGCTGGTAACGACGTCCACGAGAAGCTACGAGACCACATGCAGCGTCGCCATGACGAACAAGACGAACTTGTCGGGAAACTGCGCCAGTACGGCATCTTGGCGCTTGCGGCAGTCGTGCTGCTCCCGCCGTCACTGTTGGTGCTGATGGCTGCTATGGCAGCAACTGTATACCTTGCTCTGCGCGCCGCTCAGCACCTCGGCCGTCGACAGCAGGTCTGAGGCGCTGCGGCGGCGTCGAACCGCGACATGGGACGTCCTGGACGGGATCGGAACTAATGAGGCGAACCGGGGCAACGAGGTATCGTGCGTTGGTGCGCACGACCTTCACCTGGCCGCCCTCTATCATCTGCATAATCACCGGTGGCGTTCCGAGGGTTCGTGTGTTTTTGGTTTGCTATTTTCCTTATTTTTTCCATAGAGCCACGGGACTACGGTCCCGTGTTCGAGAGGGTGGTCCGGGGGGACGTTCCTTGAAAGACATACCCGCGCATTAGACTGGTTCCGTCAGATCGGGGCTGGGCCGCTGTAGCTTTGAATCCATATGGAAAGCGACTTCCCATTTTGCTTCTTCATAATCATATACAGTGGTGTCTCTTACTCCGTACTCATCCATGGGTATATCCTCCGCTCTGCCTAGCCCTCGAGCCTGCCGCGCCCCGTTTCTCGAGCTTCTAACAGGGCGCGCTGGCATTGCGAACCTGATCGTATCCTCCTGTCCGCTTATCACAACCTGTTCTTCCCCTCTTCCCCCGCTTGCCTCTACGATCTAGCATGTCAGATCAAGCACCCTCCCTCTTGACGGGACTCGTCATCTCCACAACCCTCGCGACATCCTCGGCCACCTCGGGCATGGCGCTCCTCATCTCCCCAGCGAGCACGTCCCTCAACTGCGCAAACGCGCCCATCTTGCCCCGCATGAGCTGGTTGCCCCGCCGCACGAGCTCGACAAACTCGCGCGTGTAAATGTCCGGGTTGCGCCCGTTCTCGACGTACTGCACGAGCTCGGGCGGAATGTTGGGCAGCGTGCCCGGCGTGACGTGGCGGGCCGGGTCGTGGAGCGGCACGCCGGGCGGCATGCCGAGCTGGTCCTGGGCGTTGGGCGGCACGCCGTCCGGGGTCGGCGGGGCGCCGGCGACGGCGGTCGTGTGGACGGCCTGCAGGGAGGCGGAGAGCGTTTGGAGCGACGAGGTGAGGGCCGTGTGGGACGAGTGTGTTGGTGTCGTCGTGTACATGGTGATCTGGAGCATGATCTGGTAGAGGTCTTGGATCGTGTCCTTGAGCTGTTCTGTTGAAGGAGGGTCAGTATGAGGAGGTAGGCCTTTGGGTGGGTGTACACCAGCGGGAGAAAGGGGAAGGAACGCTCAGAGTCCTGGGGTGTTTCACTGAGCATGTTACGGCTGTGTTTTTGTTGCGACTGGAAGTGGTGATCCTTGATCCCTCTGCACTGAAGGTTTTCTGAGGCCTCGATTGTCGCAAGAATTCGAGTAAGGCCCGAGGCTGGTGGTGGTCAATGGTTGAGAGCGACGTGGTGGTCCAATGTGTAGTGAGGCGGGATGCGACAATGATGGGCCTAGACTGACCCTCAGAGGAAAGGTGGCACTCCTATCGATAAGTGTTCAAGGTGTTGTACATGTAAGATGTGCATGACTAAGCGCAATAACCCCCTTTCGATCTCGCTGAAGCGAAGAAGATGGCATCACTTCGATTTCAACAAGGCTTTACTTTTCTCTTCATACTTCAAACCGGGGGCACTCGTCAAGTTTTACCTGTAGCATCCCCTTCGTAGGCTAATTGTATTGCTCAACAGTCCCTGTTTTGCCCAAAGGATACTATCTAGAACTAGTCATCTATCGGGTTCCCTGCTGCTTCCCCGAAAACAACCGCCTCAACTCATCTCGTAAGTGCCGTCTGTCTCGCATATTCGGCTGTTGTTCTGGTCCCGTGGAATGCATAGAGCCGGCACCATCAACAGCACTCTGTCTCTTGCAGTCCGAGTTGGGCACTTGATCACCTGCAGCCCTTTGGATCGCCACTCTGCTCCGCAAGACCGTGTCTTGAGTACGCGAGGGCTGCAGCACAGTAGCTGTCGGCCCATAGGCGCTACTAGGATCCGTCGAGATGACTGGGGCTGCTACGCTCTCTATTCTCTGCGCCTCAGTCGCCGCTGTTGGTTTGATTGTGATTGTCAGAGGCCTTGGAGATGGTGACCTGATGGGTCGATATTTCTCAAGATACTCCGAAGATAGCGGTGGCGGGGTACGAGCCGTTGGCCGTACGGTGTCATGTTTATGAGACGAAGCAACGGCTGGCGCAGACAGCGGGGGGCGGGTTTGAGTTATCTGTGGAGGAAGCTCATCGAAAGCAACATGACAGCTGCGCATAGTGCCCGCAAGGCCAGGCTGAGGCCGGCATGGCAGAGTAGCAATCTCGTTATGCTCTTCGAAAGAAAACTCCGGGGGTGTAGCGTAGGCTGAAGACGCCGAGACCTCCGTCACAGTTCTCTGGTGTCCTTGAATGTAGGCCATCCGCGAGGAGGGTCGTTTCAGGGGTTCATGGCTGACCCATGAACTCGGTGTATGACGCTTCATGTGATCCTCAACAGTTCTTGGATGGAAGTCTGTGATGCTGCCTCCAGATGACGTCCTTGCCAACGAAGAGACTCTGGGAGAAAGAGACGGCGGGGTTGAGGCTGGGTTGAATATCTTCTGAGGGCAAACCGTCGAGATGCTTGAGGATGTTCGCGTCCGTTCTGGAAGTGGACCCAATTGCTGAGTTGATGTCGACGATACGCGCGAAGGGGAAATAGGAGTAGATCGTCGCGATGCATCTGGGGAGTACTGGCGACGGTTACCAGGAAGCATCTGCATCCAGCGTGGGATCGGCTTCGTAGGGCTGGGTTTGAAGGCGGGCTCGCCCAGGGGGTCGTTAATAGACACGTAAATAGTAGAATTTTGTGGTTCAATGACATCGGTGGCGTCTATCTGCTGGTTTTTTTCGTGTTTCGTGACACTGGATATCTCTCTTGTGGCTCGCAGCGAGGGCGAGCGGTAGGCAGGGCTCTCGGGCTGAGGGGCATCAGCACTCAACCATCGTCAGCCGTGACAAGTATTGTCAAACTTACTACTGGGGCCCCTGGTTGATGGCTTCCGATCCTCAATGGCAGTGGTTGTCCCTGACTGGCTTCCCATCTTGTCCGTCCTAGCCCGCCGTCCACGCGATCCATTCTTCTCAAGCCCTTCTGCACAACCGCCCGCTCGTCCATCCCACCCAATTCGGCCTCCACGATACAGTGTGCGCAAAGTGGTGGCTCCTCGATCTCCCGTCCACTATTATTTCCCATGCTACCCTTCAAGTCGTCGTCCGAGTGCGCAAAAAGCTCCTCAAGCTTGACTCCTGATGCGATATGCCTGCTCCCACAGAGAAGACATCCGTAGCACGCCCGGTGCCAGAAGCACCATCCAAGACTAACACAGTCTTCCCCGCGCATCACGATCTCCCCGCATACCTAGCATATGGAGAGGTCGATGAGGGCCGCGTAGCATGGCCCGCAGGTAAGGCGGGCAGAGCGGCCAAGGACGTGGGTAGGACCGTCGGTCAAGCGCCAGCAGAAGGTGCATGTGAACAATGACGAAGAAGAATAGGGAGGTGGCATGGCATTACCAACATGAGTGCCTAAGAGAGGTGAGGTCCATATTAGAAGTTTCTAAAATGAATGTATAATGACAATAGCAGCGACAATGATCGTCGAGTACACTATGGAAGACACGAACGTGCTTGGTAGGACATTACCATGGACGACCTTGCTGCACGAATCTGATAAGGCGGATGGAGGGTAAGCTGCCGCACCCAGATCCGTCTACGTCTTCACCCTGTTACGCTCTCCTCTCCAGTGTACCTGCCTCGGCAAAGTAGCTCGACCGCATGCCACGTGGGCATTTGACGAAGGTGCCACCTACCTGCCTAGGTAGGTAGGTACTTTGTCCAAGGTTGGAGAGGAAGGACCCCTTGACGAGATACCTCACGTCGGCGTCGCCAGACATCATGATGCACACTCTACAGCAAAGTGCAGCCACGACATTCATAGAAGAAAAAGTCGGCCTTTCGATGATCCTACATAACAGTCCGTAACACCGCCCAGAAGCGAAATCCCTGAAACCACCAGCCTCCAGAGGCCCATGATAGTCTTACAAATTCATAATAGCAAGCAAAAACAACCAATCCAGCCGCACAAAAGCCAGGGTAACCATGTCCGGTCATGCCTGGCGATTTTCCAAAGCAGCAAATTAAACGCCTGCCACCATCCTTGGTGGGCTCTTGTGCTGTGTTTCCTTGACTCCGCTTCTACCCTTATGACAGGCATAAGCCCACTGGACTTTTTCTCCTGGCCTCGCATCCTTAGGATCATTCGAAGAATGGTGGCCCGGTACCACAGCATTGTCAGCTCGCAGCACTACACCCTCATCTCCATTGTGTACAAATACGTCCCATACAACACATTCACTCCTCAGCGACGCAGCTTGGGCTGAGAAAGCATGTGCAAACGGCTCATGCTGATGCCAGCCCGCTTCTTGACAGGGCTGGGCGTTCCCGCCGACACCTTTTGAGGACTGGGAATCGGGGTGCTGCGCGCCAGTTTGGGAGTGCCCAAAACACGAGCGTGGGGTGCAGGTTCAGCCTTGCGCCTCTTACCACCACGGTCGGCACCCTCCTGGTCGACATCAGGTTCATCATCTTCGGTGGCCCTGGCACGCTTCTTGTTGGCAAGGCCATGGGCAACTCCAGTGAGGATCTTGACGGGCGATTTGTTCTCCTTGTTTGGGTGAGAAGGCTCGACGTGCGTGCGAGCCCGCTTCTCGTTGGGCAGGCCGTGCGGTACACCTTCGAAGACGATTTTAGCTGGTGTGGTGCCTTCCTTATTCAATACGAATGGCTCTGTGTTGGTGCGCGCTCGCTTTTCGTTGGTTAGACCGTGCTTGATGCCAGCCGTCATGGACTTGACCGGTGTCTTGCTGGTATGAGTGGCCCGTGGAAGGTCGGCGGTTTCTGGGAAACTACCGGGCATTTCCTCGACTGGAGTGATCGAGGCTCGAACCTGTCGGACACTGAGCTGTCCAGGCGAAGAGCCGAAGCCGGCAGGAGATCCAGTACCGAAGCGAGCAGTGCGTTCGCTACGGAACGTGAAAGCGCCAGGAACAGTAGGAACCTCAGAAGCCTTTTCTTCTCTCTTGTTGGGAGAGGCTGGCAGCGGGCTCTTGATCTCTCCGGCAGCGCCACGACTCTCGGGCTCGTTCATACGGCTCAGAATAGCATCGAGATTGGGGTAGCTGACCTCGCCGCGACTCTTGCTTGGGGTGTCCTTGCTATCGGGCGTAAATTCGACCCGCTTGAATAGCTTCCTGCGCGGCGTGGTAAAAGGTACAGCCGGGAGCGGCTTGTCGAGGATTCGGGGACCAGGTGTCTGCGAAACACCAGCGAAAGGCTGAGGAATTGCACTCTTTGCAGGCTGAGCGGGCGATTTGCCACCGCGCAAAATCGACTTGACACGCTCGAATCTACCAGGGCTCACGATTCGTCGCTTCAGATCAAACAGTCCTCGACAGAGTAGCGAGGTCGTGTGTAGCGGCAGGCTTGGAGGGAGATTTGGTCAGCTCTCCCAGGTCGGTCTTAGTTGTCGACTGTGTCAGGCCACTGAGAGATGCCTTGCTTGGGGACTTGGTCAGAGCAGGCTGGGATATCTTAGGGAGACCCGTCCGGGCCGCCGTGGCCTTGCCGGGGCTCGTCGTTGAAGTCAAAGTGCTGCTTGAACGCGCCAGACTAGCCGAGGCGTTACTGCTAGACGTGGGGCGAGGGAGAGAGCTTCCATCCCTGGAGATTGGTCGGCGGCTGGACGCGTCATCTTCAATCTGCTGTCGAACACGCTTAACCGGGGAGGGTGAGGGTTGAGGCTGAGGCGCAAAGGCACGCAGCTTCGAGGGTGTAGTGCCGAGAGGCTGCTTCTCAGTGCGTTCGTCCAGGTTGGCCTTCGAGGAGGTGCGTTTGAGGCCAGAGACGGCCTGGCTCGGGGTGCTCTGGAGGTCGTTCTTGGAGGGCGACCGGTGGAGGGTCGACTTGGGAGTGTCTTCCAGGTTCGCCTTGGAAGAGGTGCGCTTCAGAGACTTCTTGACAGGCGTGAAGCGACCGGGTTGAGCACGGAAGGCAGAGGCATGACCCTCAATCGAATCCATCTTTTTAAACTCCTCCATGTGAGCAGCGCTGAAGCGCCCAGATTT